GTTACTATGTGTAGTTGTGTTTTTCTTAAGTCAATAAATTTTTCTTGCCTTTTTACCCCTGACCACACTCTCAATCTAAACCCTCGGCAGGTGGCTGGGACACTGCCGCCAGTGCAGGAAGGTTTGCCGCTCACAAATAGAGCTCTTCTCCCACACCACTACTGAGCACCGCTGACTGACTAACTTTGCCACATCTCTTTCATCTGTCAACATGTTGGACAGCCATCCAGCAATCCCCAGACTTCCCTCTTGCACCAGGTCTCTGAATCAGCTGCAAACACCTCACCAGCAGGCTTGCTCCTTGTTCCAGACTGGATTGAGCAACTGGGGAAAAGTCAAAGAGATTAACACGGGGCAAGCACTCAGTGCTGAGGAGAGCCATTTTCTCATTGTACCTGAAGATAAAACAGATACTCGGGGCACCTAGTACTGGAAACTGCCTATAGGTCAGAGGCAGGGGGAGGGTGTAATTCAGCAATGCAAAATTAAACCCAAGAGCACCAATGAAGGAAGCTCCCACCTGGAAACTTTCTTTTGGATGGTGGTGGAAAAAGCCTGGCTCACTCAATGCTGCTTCTTAATTATCCATGCATGAAACACGGGGTGAGAGGGCCCCGCAGTGCCCACATCCCCGAAACAGCAGCAGGTTACTGAGAACAGAGCTGCGCGTATCACTCACTGCAGCTATTCAAAGTGCAGCTGTACTAGGCTTTGTTTGTTTTTGACCATTCGCTGATCTCCCTGGTTCCAAGGCTGAGCTCACACTGGTTTTTATGCTAAGTAAATGCTTTGTGCTGTTCCCCTTCTTTCCACCCAGAAGCAGCCGTTCCTAATGTACATGCATTTAGAAGAGGCACTGCCGAGTTGCTGTGGCTTGTAATCAGGTGCTGCTAAAAATACTAGAGCATAATTGTGGACTTTGCTGCTGGATCCTAATTAAGTGGAAAACTGTGCGGCTCTCCATTCTCCCCACTGATTCGGAAATAGAAGCCCAGAGAAAGCAATGAAATGAAGACAGGCTTTGTTGCACCAGCAGCGGCTCCCCTGGGGCAGATTCCAGAGTAGCTCCATTGACTCGCGTGTGCCCTGTGAGCCATGGCTGGTCCCAGCATCATCATCACTGAGCATCTCAAAGGCGGTAATGTGTCCATCTCCTCAGCTTCCCAGTGAAATGGCAATGCAGTTATTCCCAGTTGAAACATGGGGAACGAAGGCACAGGGAAGGATGCACCATGAGCAAACAAGGCACTCGTAGCAGAACCACAACGCAAGTCTCAGACTCGGTGCCAAGAAGGCAACCTGGCTACTGACCACTGCCTCTTTCCTCTGCTGAGAGAAGGGTTTGGGCTAGGGAGTGCATCTTTCCTCCCCTTGCAGGTTCATCCCTTCACAGAACACACACACGCGCACACCCTCCAGCTCCCACAAGCTTGAGTTCCCACAGTTTCCATGGGACCTGTGTACGTGTGAACATTTGGAAAAGATGAGGCCAGCTCAATGAGACTGAGGTGAAGGCAATGCATTTAGGTTGAAGGACAGTGTTCCCCGGGGGAGGTGCCCTCTTCCAAAGTGGCCTGAGGTCACTACGGCTAATGCCTGCTTAGGAGTCCCAGTCTCAAAAGCTAGGGACAGACATTCAAAAAGCCTGAGCCTGAATTAATTCAATCTTTGCAGGTTAGTCTAACCTGCAAAGCTTGAACCTATTTGGAGGTGGAGAGACATTCCCTTTTCATTATAGAAATGTAGGCATGTGCCTGCAATGGCTCAGGCTAGAAGCCAGCGGGTGCTACAGCAGCCCTCCCTTCCCTTCCACAGTACTGAGCTGAGGTGGGGCATGGCCAGGTGCCAGCAGGGAATTGATAACAACGTTTATCACCCCATTAAGAAAACAGCAGAGGACATTGCCAGCTACCTGTTGATTCTGCCTTTGTCACACCAGGGACTAGAGCCAGCATGTGGTCTGCTAGCTAATACACAGATACCTCTCAGCAAGGCAGAGGGGGTGGGGGAATTCCTGCTTAGCAGGGAGTGGTGATGGGGAGGGAGGGAGCAGGGTACAAGTCTCTGCCTGAGCTGCAGCCAGGG